TATGTGCATATTTATTTCAGATAGCCAATAGATTGTGCAAATGGCAATGCATATATATATATATTAAATATTTATATTGAGAAACTGAAAAATAATCAGTGTAAAATGTAACGGTGGTACTAAAGTTTTTCAATTTTTGTTTAGGTGGTATACGCGTTAGCCAAAAGGTTGAGAATCACTGGTCTAGTTGTTTTCGTGGTTTTTCCCTGTACTACATTAATACGAGTTAGTTTCCTTTGAAAAGGTCCTCCGTGAGAATATCCCTGCCGTCAGGTAGAGAGCCCTGTTTGCCTTTGCCCTCAACAAATTAGGGACTCATAAACCTTAAAACCCATAAGATCTTTGAATATCGGATTGTTGCAAGAATTGGGATAACTTATTTATTTTAAAAGCAATTACTTCCAACTTTTTACAGCTGACTACATAATATAATATAGCTGCTTTCTGAAATAGTAATCAGAAAGTTTGTGTTGCCACAAATATTTTTATAAGTTAATCCGCTTTGTGACAAAATTTTTTGTCATGTTTCCACCTTGCGCGCACATTTTCAAATATTCTGTTGCATAATTTAGTTCCATATTTGATATATAGTTTTTATAACATTTGGAAACGACTGCGAACCAAAAATTCTAACAATTTCATGTTATATTTTTATTTTATTTGGAGTTGGGTTTATAAAATGTGTTTTATTTAAAAAAATTCTGCAATATTTTCGTCCATAAATTTTTTTTAATATAAAAATATTCATCAGACTTTTGGTTCAGTTTGAAAATAGTGCCCATATAAAGAATTCTATCAAATTTCAAGTATGTACCATTAGCTATTTTTAAAATATCATGCGCGCAAGGTGTAAACATGACGAAAAATTTTGTCCCAAAGCGGATTAAATTACAAAAAATATTTGTGGCAACTCAAACTTTCTGGTTAATAGTTTCCAAAGCAGCTATATTATGTAGTCAGCTGTAAAAAGTTGGAAGTAATTGCTTTTAAAAGAAATAAAAATATCTCAATTCTTGCAACAGTCACATATTCGAAGCTCATAAGGAGTTTAAGGTGTATGAGCCTCCTTAACCAGTCTGGCTATAATGTTTTTGCAGAATGGAAGTTTAGATTTATTAGACTGCACTAAAGAACACAAGAGCTACTTGTTCAAGGGAAGAGGAACTTTCTCAGAAGAATTGTCTCGCATTCACCCTGAAAAAGGGGAAAAACTGCAAGAAAGCCCATCTACCCAGTCCATTCGCCATGACTGGAACACAAGTTAAACTTTGATACTTTTTTGGTAATTCTAGCACGCAGCGTAAGATGCACGACTCCTGCTCCTTTCAGATTCCTAAATGAGTCCCCTTAGGGTCCTGACGTATGTAAAAGTCCAAAGATGAAGCTTCTCCAGTTGAAATAACCTTGTACTCAAGTTAAACATCTACCGCTTAGCAGTTTTAACTGCTCAGCCTTTCCATGAATCCTTAACAAAAACCTTTTATGTGTTTTGCCTCAATAAATAATTCTATCCTATTATTAGTCTTATATTATGAAAAATGTTTTAATTTATTAGCTCATAGCTAATAGGATATTAGTTTCGAAACGGCATTTTGCGTCGAAACACTTAAATGCGTCTTATTAACTTTTCAAATTGTTGCCACTAAGTATTATTCCTTTGTATTATATTTAAAGAAATTAAGTAACTGAGAATTTGCATGAGGAGGGGAAAAAAAGAACCTTCAAGTTTTGAATAAAGTACTCCTCCACCCAAACATGGGCACTTGGAAGCCCGAATTGTGAATTCCGAATTTGTTTTATTATCCATTTCATATTTTATAAAACTCTCTAACACGAATTTTTGGTTAACAGAATCAACGATTTCAAAGAGAGCGTTGGCAACACTGTACAGAATAATACATTTTTATATCCAGCGCGCGAGACTGTCTGTCGGAAATTCTAAAGATATGCTGTTTTGGGATAATTTGTGATTTTGCAGTTGAATTAAATTTTATGCGGGGAGGGGACGTAAGCGCTAAAAGCGTGATATTTAATAAATAAGGTAGACACACAAAACGTTAATAATAAAAAGACAAGAAAAAGTTTTCTAAATCCATCTTAGTAAGGAAACTCAACACTAATATGAGGAACTGAGAAGAGACAAACAAAAATAAATAAATAAATCTGAAAACTTTCAGATTTTACATTACGCATAAAGAGGCGGTTTTTAAACGTTTTCTGTGTTACCTTTATTTATTAAATATTATGTTCCTAAATCCATCCCATGTTATCACTTACAACCATAAAATTCAATTCAACAGGCAATATCGCAAAATAATTTTAAAATGAGCATATCTTTAGAATTTTCGAATACACAGCCTTCACTTGCTGGAGATAAAAATGTTTTATCCCCTTTCCGTACGATGTTGCTATTGCTTCGCTTTGAAATCGTTAAGTTTGTTAATCAAAAATTCGTTAAAATGTTACAAAACATGAAATCGAATAATAAAACAAATTACAAATTAAGGCTAGACTAGATGCCCATATTCGGGTGGAAGATGTACGTTATTCAAAATTTGAATGACTCTAAATGGTACCGTTGTTTTATCACAATGTGAGAATACATACATACATTTATGCAGATTTTTCATTATTTAATTTCTTTAAAGATACATTGCTGTCTCTAACATTTGGTGGCAACAGTTTGAAAAGTGATACGGACATTTACAGTGAATCGACTCAAAACGCGAAAACGAAATTAATAGCTCTTCCGAGCTAACGCTACCTTGGGCTAAAAATGTAGTATGTTAACATTTAACGTTGCATCGGGAGCTGTAAACGTATACTGCTATACTGCTTTTAAAATTTCTTTAATTTTGGCTGTAGAATTGTATAAGGCGTTAAGAGCGAAGAAAATGTGCTTAATATTAAAGAGGCTAAAAACAAAATATGGTTAATAGGAGTCAGTGTAACAACAGGCTGGTAGACTACGAGCTTAGCGAGAGTGTAACAAACCTGTTTAGGCGACCGTTAAAGTCTGAACTTTTTTTTTTTTTTTTTTTTTTTTTTTAGAATTTGAAATTTGTTTTTATTATCGATTTCATATTTTATATAACACTTTGACGAATTTTTGATTAATAAACTCAACGATTTCGAAGTTCGAAGCCAGCAATGGCAACGCTGTACGGGAAAAAATACCATTTTTATCTCCAGCGTACGAGACTGTGTATCGGAAATTCTAAAAATACGCTCTTTTTAAATTAACAGACATAATACGAAATTTTTGCATAAGAATTTCAAGTACATGAAAGAGGATAAAAATGGAGTCTAAAAGTTTTATGTAAAGGCTCTGTAAGATCAGAATATTGTTTCAAGGATTCAAAAAAGAGTGAGAAAAGGGACGAAAATTTTTTAAAAATTATCTGAAGTTTAAAATGCATGTTAATATTGAAAATTATAAATTACGATTGAATAAACCTGTAGGAGGCTTAATATAGCTTTTGGTATTTTTATATTTATTGCATTAAGATGTATAAAATCTCAAATAAAAAACAACGTAGTTATTATATATTAGACACTAAACACTAATTTTTAAATTTCTTACACTGTCAACGAATTTCACAAAATTTCAACACGTACAGGCATGAGAATTTTATTCAAAAAATCAAATTGACGAGTTCATTTCATATTTCCTGTGCTATATTTGTTTATAATACTGCTACAAGATATTTTATATATCCAAAATATATTTTTAACGTTTGCTAAGAGTATATCAGTCATTTGATGAAATGTACAAGATATACTCTCTAGAATGGATTTGATTTTTTGGGTGAGTGAGAGATTACTTTTTTATTACTATTATATAACTATTATTATAAAGTGCAAGCTAAAGTGTTCTGTTTAACGGAAGGGATGAGTCCCTGAAGGATTTTTTAAGGGAAATGAACATATTTACATTATAGATGGGAGAAATAATGCAAACCTCATGCAGCCAGCCCGTTCAACAGCTGGGAATAAAACTTAAAAACAGCAGAAAAAGTGTTTTGCTACTTTAATCACTCAACCAATGCGCTCTTACTTGCTCGAAGGCTTAGAGAAGATTAATTTTCAAGTAGCAATAGTTAAGCAATAATGAAGATGTCATACGAAGCTTTTTTTTTTTTTTTGTATTAATAAGTGGTTGAAATCTAAACAAAGAAATGATTTTATTTAAATACTGTTTATCTGATTCTAAACCTTTTAAAAATTTATTAAAAAAATTGTATTTTACAGAATAAATCGTTTACATGCTCGAACTCCTCCAATTCGAATTATTATTAGTGAAATGCTAAGCGGGAAATGCGAAAATCACAACTTATTAATTACACAGAAATGGCAAAACTGTTGGTCACATATTTTTTTTTTCAATTGATTGAATAAAGCTGGTTTATTCTTCATAAACAAAGTTTAAATGCCATCAAATGAGTTTGATCCATGGGAAAACTCTTTACAAGGAAGAATTTTGATTTTTCCTCTTGAAATTTTCAATTTATTGAACTTTTCTAAATTTTAGAAGCACAGATGAGTGAAAAAACCCTTAAAGGTCCTCAAATTCTGTTAATCATTATTTTGCAAAGAATATTATTATAAAAATATTGTTTCAAGGATTCCAAAAAGATTATAACTTTTCCCACTCTTTTTGAAAGAGATAAAAGTATGAAAAATTTGTGAAAAATCTCTAACCAAAGAATACAAATAATCTAATATTTAAAACAAGTTCTACTATTCCAAATTATAAATTAAAATTGAATAAACCCGTAGGAGAATTAAAATAGCTTTTAGTATTTTAATATTTATAGCATTAAAATCTTGTAAAATGTAGCAAAATATATTTATTGCATTTTAAACTTTCTAAGCTCTTCTTTTAAAATTTCTTAAGGTATTAACTATTTATTTTAATATATGGCTCAGAAATTTTACTTTTAATGGCTCCAATTTTATTACTTCAAATGATAGTGATTGATAGAAATAGTAAAACTAACCTTATCAGTTACTTTACTCCAAGGTTTATTTTCAGGATTTTGTTGATTCCCGGTTTCTTCAGTATTTGCCTGTATCATCTCATCAGGCAGTGATGGGTTTGTAGCATCCATCTTCAGTTAATTATTCCAATATGAATTTCGTTCTGTCTTTATGAACGAACTATTTTACTCCGAAATTTCTGTAAAATATTCTAAACTTGTCTTTCAAGAGAGAAGACAACGAAGCAACAAAATTCTTAAGGTTTGATACTGCAGTTTTAAGTGTAAAGAGAAACCCTTCCTTTTGTAGGCTAAAGGTTACTTGTTGGCATTATTTTACTTTTGGTAGATATTTACAGGAGGAACTTGGCGAAAGAACAACCGATTGGTTAATAAATTGTGGCAAACTACGCAAAGGATACACATTTGTGGTAGCATCCCTTTTTCAGAATACCATTTTACTATTCACGTATATTATGCATTTAAATAAAATTTACGAATGATTTGATTTGAAAACCGAAATAATCTTTAACAATGGGAAAAGTAAAATCTTCCTTTGGCGCTATTTTGGGTGTAGCGGCTAAAAGCTTTCTGGGAACGGCATTTTTCGTTGAACGTCTTGAACCGTGTTTCATTTCAATTAATTTAAAATGTAAATGAACACGTCCGTTATTTTAACATCTTATAGCTATTTCAAAGCAAAAGAAGTAATATGCCTGTAAGAAATATTTTTGTATTTTCCTTCTGCTGTTACATATCCCTAAATATTCACAAAGATTCACAAAATCCCTAAATAATTTTATCCTATTACTGTGAATACTCTGTCAGAAGCAATGCTGTAAATTTTTGTGGTGTTATTACGCGTGTATAAATGTTTTCCTAACAATTTATTTTGGTTTCATATACACATGAAGTGAGGATTTGAGAACCCAAAAATCCTCATGTCAAAAGGAAGCTGAAGCGAGACTACCGAAATTGCATGTTTGGTGTGAGATGTTGCATAATAAGATTATAGGGCCATTTTTCTTTCATGAACAAAGAATAACAGCCGGAGTTTACCTTTATTGATTAAATACATTTGTTAACAGTTGGAGGATCGTCAACCAGAGATTATTTTATAACAGGATGGCACTCTAGCACCCCACGAGACACTCTTCACCAAAACTTTAAACCTTGCTTACCAAAGATGTAAGTTGTTTTATTCTCAAACATCAAATTATGTTTCTTACTTTGTTATGTTGTTAAACTTGTTCAGGGACCTTGGACATCCTGTATTACATTGGTAGGCAGAAGCGTTTAAGTATGTAAAAGAAAACTGTAAATATTCTAATGCCATTTTAGACTGATTGGATTTTTATCATTAAGCCAGTCTGGAAAATCAAAGATAATTCTTGTCTCTTTCTATTACCAAGTTCCTTACTCAAATAAAAAAAGTTCAACAACATGACAAAGAAACATAATTTGATGATAGAGAGGAAATGAATATTGAGAAATATTTTAAAACAAATTTAACTTTAATATATATTTTAAAAAAGTCGGAAAATATTCATTTTTATTTCATGGTTTATGAGCTGATCACCAAATAATTACTTCAAAGTTTGCTTTCTGCTGAATGACCCAAAACCAAGCATAAAATTTAGTATTGTTTTGTTTCATTTAAGGCATGGTTAAATGCTAGTTCTTTTATTAATTTTTAAATACAAGAGCAAGGTAAGAATGAATTTGTGACTGTGCAGTTGAATCAATTATTTTAGGACACTTTCTTATGGCAAATTACATGAGAGCCAGCTATGCAGAAGTGATGCCAACGAATATTTACACAACATGTGAGGCGGAAACAACAACCTTATATAACCAGCCTATTCATACGCAAAGATTAACCGGATAATTTTGGATTACACTAGAACATACTAACGCTAACTCTCTAAGAGAAATGATGCCTTCATAAAGGACTTTTAAAAGTCTTTCAAGTTTGACGTTTTCTGTATGGATGAAGCAACTAAAGCGCTTATGCAACAAAAGTTTGCCTTGATTCGAATTACTCAGCGTTCAAATATCTCATGTACTTGGTCAATGGTGGACTGCTTTGTTAAGAAAGGAAACAGTATGTGGATTTTCCCATTTATCAGAATGTAATCTGAACTTTTATATGAAACTAATAAGAGATTTTAGATTAAAGTTACAGCTGACAAATAGACAATACCGTTGAATACTAATAGTAAAGGCTGGCAGAACTAAGCAAAATAAGCACAGGGTTATAACAGCAAGGAAAAGCGACACCACAAAACGTCAATAGAAACTCAAAGAAAGGAGGTATCACAAAAAATTTCCATTGCAGATTTTACTGACGAATGATGCATCAAAATCGAGATCCCGAGAGAGAAATGATGGGGGAGGACAGGCGCAAATATATATGGAGTCACCCAAACCTTCTAAGAACGTAGGACAACTAAAAGTCTTAATCCGCCCCTGAAGCCCTGTTTCGAATCCCAGAGAATGGGTTGGCTGAAACTGACTTATAAAGTTCTACACGAAAGTATCCTACCCTTAGGAGGATAAGCCTAAGATTGTCTTTTCCTTTACTCAAAACAACATACTGCTTAGTTATGATTGTGAATATTTAACATTTCTATTAGGCAATTACTTACTCTTTTATGCGCATTATATCCGAACTATATCTACAATACGAAAATGAAAATAAAACGTCCAATTTTTCTCTTGTCACATACATCAAGGACACAGTTACTGTAACAAACGATTACCATGACAACAGTCGAAGAAAGACTTTTTAAATCACTTAAAAAAAAAAAAAAAAAAAAAAAAAAAAAGTCTAATTTTAATTCACTACATTGTGCTTTCTAGTAAATTAGTTTTAGTTTTTATACTAAAGTATTCGAAAGTTAGCTATATTTTGACTGCGAGAACGGGCAAAATAATTTTGGACATATCCAGAAACTATGCTGAGTAATAACGATTTCGGTAGACTGGTTCGGTCAGTCCTATTCTTGGCCTCTTTACGCTTGATGTGACACCAATGGACGTTTTTATGCGGGAATATAAAAAATATATACATTCTGAAAAATTTCGTGGCCTAACTATCTTCGAAAGAGAATCATAGCAGCAGCTGTTAAAGTTGTGCCGCAGCACCAGCGAACGAGTGCCTAAGACCGTTGTAAGTTTTTTTTTATGGGTTCGATTCCAGGTGAATGGGCTGGCTGCATAATTGGCTTTCGTATTTTTTCCCATGTGCAGTGTGAATATGAGCCAGTTTCCTTCAGAAAGTTTTCAACAAAGGCATCCTTTCCCTTTAGGCAGATAACTCTTCAGTACTTTGCCATTTATAGAAATCCAAAATTAACTACAGTTGCGAGAGACAATGATTCAACGCACGTGAATAAAAATAGATATCGCTTTGAAATCAACAAGGTAACCAAAGAACAAAATATTTTTTTGCTATTAGTTAGTACTTCCGCCTTGATTGATATAGTGGTTAGCAACTCTGGCTGAGGTAGCTAGGTGTCCAAGCTCAAGTCCCGAGAAAAACGTCGATATTTGCAATTGTATAATATCTGTGCACCACGGGAAGACTCGAAATACTGTAGAGCCAAAATGCCTTCGAGTCGCTTGGTGGTGGGAGAAGAGGGATTAAAAGTCCTCAGATCGTTCCGAGGGAAACTGCGTATAAAAATTGGAGCAGAGTTGCACAATTAATGTGGTGAAGCAAATGACGCAGACAGCAGTTCCAGTAGCATTGTATGCTTTGATGTCTTGGGAGTAGCAGGGATAACAATAAGAGCGGATGAGGTTCAAGATGCAAGGAAACAGAAATAAATATATTTCATTAGATATCAAAATATTAATATTATCATGTCATCTTACTAAAATATAGATTTCGTTTAAACAATTTTATAATGTTTTCTGGTAGTTTATCCATGACTACTTTTCATTTACGATGTTCTTATTGCAACTGCATCATTCGGAAATTAAATTATCCTTGTAACTTTCTCTTCTCGATTTTAATACGTCAAAATTAGAAGAAGAAGAAAAAAAAAAAAAAAAAAAAACGGGAAATATACTGGAATAAATAATACACTATTTTCTTCCTTCTTTTTTATAAGAACTACTCAACGCTTCTGGGAGTGCAAATCATTTAATTAAAAATAAAATGCTAGTTATTTAACAATAAGGAAATTGAGCATTTTTCTTATTGCTAATCATTTCGGTGTATTAAAAAGCTATTCATTTCACAAAAAAAAAAAAAAAAAAAAAAAAAAAAAAACTCAAACTGGACCAGAATACCACTCTGTACACGCACAATACTAACATCATCTCTTGGAACAAGTTAAGTCAAATATCTTAGTGTTAATTTAGGCCAAAGACTCACGTAGATCCCACACGTTACACATGTCATTACTAAGTTTTGGGGTACTAAAGCTTTACTTAACCAATTTATTGCTCGAAACTCCGTCCTCTGCGCATGTTGCGTCCTATTTATATATGCCTATCCCGTCTGTGGTTTCCTATGCTATGTCGCCTTAAAAAAGCTACAGAAAACGCAGAACGTAACTTAAAGAAAAATCACAAAATGCCAGTGGTTTATCAGAAATGATGCTCTTCATAGTGAACTAGACGTGAATAAACTAGATATATTTTTTTTTGATAAATTTCTTTGCAAAAATTGCAAAGAAATTTATCAAAAAAAAAAAAAAAAAAAAAAATCTGACGTTACACCACATGACTTCTTTGTACGGAATATTAAATTATACGCAATTTTCCTGTATTTCATTTAAACTTATTTTCTCGAATTTCATTAGAGATATATTTCTCATTCAATTAATTCAGTTCTCACTTCGCAACAAGACAAAAATACATAAAACCTCAAAATATCTTTATTAAAAATTAAAAAAATATACAAAAACATAAATACAGTTAAATTTAAACAATTATACATAATTGTAATATATATGATACAATTTAAAGAACAACTTTTACAATTAAAATTAGAGTTTCTACGCAAAAACAAGCAATTCGGCTAGCGGGCAGGATAGCAGACTTTCCAGTGCAAAAAACTGAAAGTTTACTTTTAGTCTCACTCTGCAAAAGACACTAAAAGCGTAGAAACTGACTTAATTTGTTGTGGACGCTATGCTGATTCAACACATGAGAAAATTTAACAACTTAAATAATACGTAATTCGAGAATGGATTAAGCATGATTTAATTTGCAATAATAAAAGAAGACGTTAGCTTTGTTGTTGCAAAGATTAGTTTCTCCAGGC